TGTTCGTATTTCTATACCGATGTACCTCTATTTAAATAAATATAAACTTAGTTATAAGAAATTATAAGTAATTAAAATAGTTTTAAATTTATTTATTAAAAAATATATTTGATTATGGTATTATTATCATGAAGTATCAATATAAAATACTCTATAAGATAATAATAATAATAATATAATAAATTATAACGTAGTATAATATAATAAACAGTATACTATTTTGTTTTATTATATTTTATAATAACATATTGTGTGGTATTTCAGATTATAGGGAGATTATGCGATAATATTGCTTTTACAGATTAATATTTTGTTTGATAACGGTAGTTTTGTTTATTTTAATAATATTAAATTTTCTTATCTAGATTAATACGAAAATCAGTCTGCGCGTGACACCACACACGTAGAGTGGTATTTTTTATTTATATAGTGTTAAATAATATACCGACTACCTAGTCATAAAATGAGTTTTATAAAATTATGTTTTATTACGTATTATAACAAACGCAGCAGTGCCAATGTAGCATGTGATTTGTTCTAGGTTTGACGTGGTTACGACTGCAAACAAATAGCGAACAACTATATTATACTAAATTATGAACAAACGTTTTTTGTCATCAATAAAATGTTCGACAAATGTTTGACAAACAATGTGTTCTCAAACATTTGTTAGATATGGATGCAATTTAAAAGAATTATTATCCGAGAAGGTAAAAGAATCAAATAAAACGAAAAAAAAAAACGTTAAGGTTTGTCAAAAAAAAAAGAAGCAAAATCAGTATTTTAAAAAACCGAGGTAAGGTGTATATATAAAATACGATCACAATTAAAAAAATATCGTCCGATACGTGCTGACATAGGCTACATAATTTTGGGTTCTCACAATTTGGTCGACGCACGTGTTTACGACTGGCACGTGACTAGTACATCCGCGCTATCGATGTAACGTCAAGGAATCCCTTGATACCAACAGCATTGAACACAATAAAAAAAGTTATATTTGCTTAATATTGCTTAATCCATACTCATTTTCCATTATTTCCATGTTAAACAAATCAAAATATTTTATGTTATTTTAATCTTATTATGAAATATCAATGTTGTTTATAATGTTTTAATACTAAGAATTCAATTATTATAATTATTTTTCTTGAAGTGCGAATGGTGTACATTTTGATACAAAATTATGAAGGCTAGTGTTGACAAAACAAAACAAAACAAAAAAAAAAAATGCAACAAAATAATATATTACATCTCTGACGATCCATCAGGGTTGTGCTTGGAACCAATAATTATGCCGAAATTCAAGTAAACCAATTAATATAGATTCAAAAATATCTCTTGGTATATTAATTTCGTTAACTTTTAATTTTCAATTCAATTAATCACGGTTTTTATTTTATTTTCTAATTATTATTTGTCATCGAAAATGGATTTTATTGGAACACTATGTACAGATCAAAAACTGACATCAAATCTTCATCGAATCTAAATTCTAAATCATTTAGACAGTTATCGAGAAAAATCGTAATTTTTAAATGGTATTCAGTAGATTTAGTTCGAGGACTTTCTCTGTTTTTCACTAGGTATTTTAGATTTGGAGTACGTTTTAAGTATCACAGTCCAATTTTTTTTAGAGGATTAAAGAGGTAATGAAATTGAAGAATAGATAAGATTTATTAAGATTTTAAAAAAAATGTAAATTCATTTTTTAATTGTATAATTCAAAATTTATTTTATTTGTTTTACTGAGATACGAGTAAGTTACTTAATGAGAAGCTTGGAATTTCTTGATAATTTGCATCAAACAAATCTAACCTAACCAACAGTGTCGCTTGTTAATATTTTCGTCACTTAAATTAGTTCTACACTTAGATTTTACCAGTTACTTAGTTGTAGCTCAATTAAGGGGGTAAGGATGATTTAAAAATATTACGGTTATGAATACTATATTATTTTATTAGCTATACGCTATAGGCTTTAACCGTATTCATTTTTTTTATTATTTAATATATTTATATTATTATATTATTATAATATTTTATATTATTTAATTTTTATTATTTTTCCCATGTTCTCAATTTATGTAAATTACATTTTATTCAATAAATTGCATATTTTTTACATTTTTACTACATATCATATTGTACATTATGATATTTTTAAAGCATATATATATATATATGCACATATCTGAGTGCTTTTTAACGTTTAAAGGTCCGAGCCTTGATCATAACTAAAAAAATAATAATTGGAGAGACTTGAAATTTTCACTGAATTCCTATATTACTGGTGTTCTATATTTGGTATAAATAACAAAATAATTTTGAGCTGTTTTTAGATACTTGAAAATATCATATTGTCTTTACTTTTTTTTCGAAAGTAATGATACAATAATTTTCGTGTGATAAAAGTATTGGAAATTAAATAAAAAGTTTCTCGTACATTTTATTATTGATAAATGAAAAAAAAAAATTGAGTGCAATTAAGAAAAAAAGTATATGAAATTCTGAATATTAATTTTTAACAAAATGATAATAATGAAGAAAATCCTTTATTTTTGTCATTGAAAATTCATTAAATTTTTAATTTTTATTCTTCAGATTTTTCATACGATTTTTTTTGTAGTAAAAAAAAAAAATAATGGAAAATTGCAAAAATGTTTTATAGGGGTACCTAAGTGTTAAAAAACAAAATCGGGTATTTCAACGAATATCCATTAAACCATATCAGTAATTTAGTAAGACATTTTATAGTTTCAAAATATTTTAATGAAATTAAAAATATGTCAATAAAGGTACTACTGGTATTGAATATAATATTAAAAATATAGTTATATTTGCTTATTACATTCTCGATACGCTTTCTTAATTTTCTATATTAAAAACATTGAAATCAATAATATTCACGGAAATTATAACACATTAAATTCCTATTGAAATATACTTTTTATAACTAGATATAGTTAGTTGTATATATACATATAGATATACCATATCGTATTACAAGCATATAATATACCTAATTGTCGTAATTACTTCTAGAGACTTTACATTTTCTATGTACATATAATAACTATTAGTAAAACAAAAGACATTCTTCCTAATATGTGTCATTAAAAATGAAGGTCGTATGAATTTAAACTATACTTATTTGATTAAAATTAAAGATTAGTAGTTCCAAGATTATTATCAAAAAAATCAAAAAAGTAAAACCAGTAATTTTATACGCATGCAAAATGTGGTCAATTTCAACAGAGGACGAAATATTGTTGTTAGTTCTAAAAAGAAAATGCCTCCGATGCATTTTTGGTCTTATGAAAAATATTTAGACAGATTAATATGAAAATACGAAATAAAGTTGAATAATGAAATTAAAAAATTTTTGGGAGAAGAAAACAATATAAAAATATCAAAGAAAGAAAAGTAAACGAACTGGTACACGTGTGGAGATCGAGTGGCTTAATGGAAAATAAATTGAACTGGAAACCAGAGAGTTAGAGACCACTGGACAGACTGAAGAAAAGATGGATAGACGAACCCAACCAACATTTCCAGATACGAGGGGTTGGTAACCCGGAAGAACAGGGAAATGATAAAAAGAAATGGAGTCTGTGATGAGCCTTAATGGCTTGTAAAAGCTGAAGAAGAAGTGAATGCAAGTGTAAATGTTCATCTCACTTCTCAAAATTCACAACATTATATTTTTATGTAACTCAAAGTCAACATTGATAAAATAATTTTTGCAGTAATAATAATTTTGAATAAAATGTATTTATGTTCCTACCTTTAGACAGATATAATCTTTTAAAGATGCAAAAATGCATAAAGTCAGATTAATCCGGATATTAAGTGATGTTTGAATGGTTATTAATGTTGTTCAAATGTATTATACATGTAGGTATCTATAATATACACATATATTATACTTCATAATAAATAATGAATAAAAAATGCATTGGCTCAAGAGAGTGCAGACGCATAGAGTTCCTTTTTAACCTCTAAGTATTGAAAGATGTACAAGTGTGCAACATGTCAGCCATCAAAGGAGGAGACGTTAATTATGTTTCATTTGAAATTTTATATTGAAATTAAATATATTTATGTACATCTGAACAATTATGACTGATTCACATAATAACTTAAGTAGTAAATAAGACTATGTTTCCTTATATAATAGTAAAATAATTTGTTTTGTTCTACATTATCTTAGTGTTTAATAGTTTTACTAATATTAAACTATATTTTGTTATTGTTTTTCTTCTCAATAAGAATAGCGTTTCTCAATCCATGGATCTCAATAATTGAGAAATAATATTATAGAAACAAAATATAGTATTTTTTTATCATATAGTAATTATTACAATATGGTATAAAATATTATATAATACACAAAATCATTAGTAACAAGTCACGATAAAAACTCTAAGTTAATCATTTCAAAATTATGAAAGATATATGATTATTGTATTATTTATAAATAAGATGATTAATTGATATAAAAATGATTTTATTTATATATCTGATATCCATAAATCTGAGTCACGATTTTTTTTGACTTTTTATATATCTGACGATGAGTTTTGAATTCGAAATCCATCGTATTTTATAAATATAATCACACTCCAGACTAAAAATGTATTAATTAATTGACGAGTATTAACCATTTACTAATTTTTAATTTTAATTGAGTTTTTATTATTTTATTATTAAAATATTATTCGATGATTAAAAATATAATTTGACATTTTATTAAAAACCCGTTTCATTTAGTTTTGCTTACAATTAGTTAATATTTTTTATAAGATAAAACCGTGTAGCTTGTTAACACTGAATTAACTTAGTTCATAAGACATGCGTTATGCATGTAATTCGAGAACTACCGTAGAATCATTTAAATTCTTAAAATATTATTCATACAATAACAATGTTGGTCTTGTGAAAATTATCGTTTGAATTTAACAGTTCATTATTATGCGTAAAATCATATAATATACTTACGTAAGCTTTACCGAATGGCACTAAATTCAAATCCAAGTATTGTTGTACTTTACAGAAGTGCGGATGAAGTTGTGTCATAATAAAATCTCTGCTGTCTGGACAATGAGATTCGTAGTAAACCGAAACTTTCAACTAAATAAAAAAAAAGAATATTAAAAATGTAATTACCCGTAAAACGTTGTGTGTACAAAAAATAACATTTAAGCAATATGACAAAACGACAACGGTAAGACTTAGTTACGATACTTAATATGTTTCCGTGAAAATAATGACAGCGATCAAGAATAATGGTAGAATTGCAAAAATCTCTGGATTGATTCGCGGCTTTCGTACGAAAGAGCGTAGAGAATTCCTAATTAAAACGACTTACCGGTTCGATGCTGTTGGCCGAAATCGTCGCGAGAGCCACGACAACGGTGGCTGCAAATAACACGGACTGCATGGCGGTTTTTTTTTTGATTTTTTTTTTAGTTTTCAATCCGTACAGCTGTAGCAAACGCGATAATATTACTTTTGCCGTTGCTGTATCAACGGATGGACGTACTGGACTGCTGCTGTCCCGCGTTGCGCGTTATTATGATTTTCGCTCCTCATCGAGTACAACGCGTTAAACGAAACCAGTTTCTTACCGAACACGATTATATTAAAAATATCGTATACACACGACCCTACGTACGTAGACGAACGCGATTCTCTTGCATAACGGCTATATTGTATTGCGCGTTGACCCCCACGAAACGATAGTACACCAGATATTAGGTCATGTATTCCGCTCCTACGTAGGTATACGTCGTGCAGATAATAAAATATGTATATAATATATACACGTAGACCAATTGGTTTTATTAACAAACAAAACAACACCGCGTGACCTCGTCCAAAGATCGGACTAACTATAAGATTGTAAACCTCTTTACCGAGTTAAGTTACCGTGAGGATTTACTGTACAATCGCGATAGCCATACAATATTTCGTATGTTTCAACGGAAACCTAAGTAGGTATAAGGTATCGTGTTTAAAAATAATTCTACCATTTTACTTGTCTGTTCATGGATTTAAAATCACCAAACTAACGTCAGGTAAACGAAACGCACTGAACAAATCATCGTTTTCGTCGCTATAGATGGATAGTATGCTAGAGGTACAGTATGTTTATCGAGAAACACCGCTCTGTAGGTTTTTAACGGTCTTGTACGTAGTAATATGTAATAAAATAATAAAAAACTAAAATATTAGTAAATGGTTAATACTCGTAAATTAATATACAAATAATTAAACAAATAAATAAAGGCTAAGCCTGGAGTATTATTATATTTGTAAAGTATGACCGGTTTCGAATTAAAAATTCATCATCAGGTATGTACAAAGTCAATAAAATCGCGATTGTATTGTGAGTCGATGGTGAATTCTTAATTCGAAACCGGTCGTATATAATAATAATTCAAAATAAGCATTTATTTATTTATTTATTTATTTCTATACATAAAATATTTGTTAATTTATTTACATATTCAATAATATGCATTGTAATTGAAAATAATGTACATTCAGAAGATTTTTAAAATTGCCAACGAGTTATTATAAAATTTAATACATAGGTATGTAAGTATGTATGTAGGTATTAAGTAGATACAGACCGGTAGGAAGGTAGCTGCGTACACGAAGTCTTTAGATAGCGAAACAATAACGAGACACGCGACACCGTCGTTTTAACCATGACCGACAATGAAGCAATTTCAAACGAAACACATTATTGTAATTTATGTGCGGATGACGTTTTTAAGACGTTGTGCGGACACCGTGCGCTTGCTATTGTCTATTATGTAAAGGTATCTGATGAAATTTAAGACATTCCGACTGAGTGATATTATTATGGTAATGTACAGCCGTTAGTTATGTTTACAGTTCACTCGTCGGGAGTGCATACAAATAACGCTTTATTATAATATTGAATATATGGTTTAAACGACGGATGGAATAGTATATGGTATACATATATATTTTAAAGTATTTCCAATAACTTAATTTGAAATGTATTTAAAAATATTTATAGAGCATTTTCGTAAAAGGAAAAAAAAAACATTACCTACTGCAAATAAAAAATGTTATAAGAATTAATTTAAAACGGCCGATAAGATTTATCAAATTATGTAACTGGTAATAGTTTCAAATAGTGTAACATGCTATGCCGCTAGGTACACATAGTATAAATTAATAACTACTGCTTTCGTTCAAGTGTAAATTTCAATTGCATTTAATACGAGAAAAGGCAATATTCGTGTTCGCATTATACGCTGTACCTTCTGTACCCAAGATCCAACAAAGTTTCGTGTTTTGCATTAAAATTTTTTAAACTGATCATAGCAATGTGAAAAAATACTTTTTTAGTCCACAGATTTCATGTCTTGCAAAATATATACCATGGTAGTTTAATCAATTATATTTTACACATTATTATTCCACTCGGTTTTAAAACCATCTGTTGTAAGATGTTGTATACCATTATTATACAGAACAGAATATCGAAAAATTGAATTTCAATATTCATATGGAATTTTTTCCCTGACTTATCGAAGTATTACCGGAATAATATTATGTACTGTGTATGGGATTTGAAAGTTATATTCAGATAAAAATTACGAGTAAAATGTAAATTGGGTAGAATTTCGCATTTAGTACTTTTATAATACAATTTGTATACTAAAATATGTTGGTATTTATATATATTGGTGTTCATTAGTAGATATTGACGGGTGAAATAAATAACGATAGCAGAAATTTTGTAAAAACTTTAGAGAATTGCTTAACTTTGAATAATGTTATTATTCACGGAGACGCTCATATTACCTACACACGTTATTTACATGCCTACATATTTTATGATGGTCAAAAGAAAAATGTCAAAAATAATAGTTGCGTTAAGATAAAAACTCTATATGTACTGCAATACCATAATATATTAGATAGGTGTACCCAACCGCCTCCAGTAATATGTACTACTCATATTAGTGATTCAACTGGTTTTGCATACAGGTTTTCTGCAAAATATTCTTTGTAATACTTCTATACATACTATACATATGAACCAATATGGATGTAAATTATTATTATATTTTAGTTATTACCACGGGTAAAACCTCTCTGTATAACCTCTATGTAACATAACCGTATGCAAATTAATGAATTATACTTTATTATCAGGGGCGTATTTAGATAGGGGCCATGGGTCCCGTTGCCCAGAGCGGCATATTTTTAAAGATTTAGAGGGGCGGAAATTTTTATTTCGTACTTTACACAATTATACAACTTACGCAAATGATTTAGCAACGTGTTTTCTAAATGAGTGTGTACAATTTTAAGGCCATATAAAAAATATTGAAGTTAAGCTTACAACAATACAGATGTTACAGTTTATAAGAGAACATAATTTTAATAGTGTTTATCTTTATACTGGAGTAGCTTTATGTATTTTTTGTATACACCATCTACAAATTGTAATGCAGAGCGTTATTTTTCAACACTTAAAAGAATAAAAAATATTTTCGCTCTACAATGGCACAAGACCGGTGCTTGGTTTTAGCGGTATGTACAATTGAAGCTGAAATAACCACTTTATTAGATTTTGAAAAAATAATTAATGATTTTGCTAGTTCTGAATCAAGGAAGAAAAAGATTTAAATTTTGTATTTATATTGTATATCTAGTAGTTAATAGAGGTTTTAATAAATAATATTAATTAGTAACAACATTTTTTTTTGACTGGGGGGGGGGAGGCAAATATGTGTTGCCCTTACCCTGAAATTCCTAAATACGCCACTGTTTATTATATTAAAAATATAAATTTAATTATAATATATATAATATAATTCTAATAGGAACTCAGGAAAGAAGAGAGATTAATCATGAATAATGAACACTATAATAATGAATACTAATTAAATATATTTATTCAGAACGATAGATTATGTCTATGGAAATATGTAAAAGATATGGGAGACTGTAGGATCTGCAGTAAGAAAATTTTAGAAAGGGTTGTAAAGAGATCGCCGTAGAAAAGTATAAAAAAATAGCGAAATTAATATGGGATATGACATATATTTTCATACGCGGTGGGTTGCTTGGATGAAATGGTCGATGGACAAAACCACAGATGTTAATCACAATAAACACAACGTTAAAATAATATTAAAAATAGTGTTGACATTTTACTAAAACGTTAACGCGCAGCCGGTCTCTGCTGATAAGTTCTCTCATACGTGTCGCCAAGTGGCGGATAAAATCCGAAGGTAATACGTTAATACTGTGGGTGGTAAAATTATTATATAAGTACAGAATCGGTAAAATTCAAAAATGTTTTTTCA